AGTTTCTCCCCCTATGAGTCTGGGTCCCAGAGACTTCCCGGAACAGGAGTTCAGAGCAGCCGGGGGCTTGAGACTCCCGATTCAAGAAGACAGCCACGTCCTCAGTTGCCAGCCCTTGCTGCATGCGCCTCCATACCTCTGCACTTTATTTCCGCAGCTCCTCTGAGTCTCAGTGCTTTTCTCTTTCCTTCTAGTTGTAGAATTTCCACTCAGCCAGCCTTCCTGTGGTTCTGGATGATAACCGTTTTGTCTTTTTCTTTCCATTGATTTTTAAAGAGAGAAAAAGAGGAGAGAAGATGGAGAAACATCGATGTGAAAGGCACATCAATTAGTTGCCTCCTGCATGTGCTCTGACCAGGGCTGGGGCCAGGGATCAAGCTGCAGCCGGTACATGCCCTTGACTGAAATGGAACCTGGGACCCTTCAGTCCGCAGGCTGACGCTCTATCCACTGAGCCAAACCAGCTAGGGCATATCATTTCTTTTTATTAGTTGAATTACTTATGTGAAGAGACACTTCCCCTCATCTACCATTTGGTCACCCAGTGGTACACTTCATATAGGAAAAGCAGGATAAATGCTTGATTTTTTTCCCTTTATTTATCAATTTTTGAGATAATGAATTGGTTCCCTATCCTCTAAAGATAACTAGTTGTTGTTTTTTAATATCATTATAAATGCATATGTTTAAATATATTAAATACATTTTATTCCATTGCGGTTATTAACATTATTGAAGCTCAAATTGTTCTATTCCAGTGGGAGCCTTTTCATCTTAGCTCCTGAGTCCTCTGGACATGACCCTAATAGTCTTTGATAAATACCTTGCTATGACCAGATGTTCCAGCCTCATCTTGTACATTTCCTGTCCCAGGCCTGGAATCAGCCATTTATCTTTGTTGTTGTTAATCCTCACCTGAGGATATTTTTTCCACTGATTTTTTTTAGAGAGAGTGGAAGGGAGGGAGAGAGAAACATATCGATGTGAGAGGGACAGATTGATTGGTTGCCTTCCACATGTCCCCCAACTGGGGCCAGGGATCAAAACTACAATCCAGGTATGTGTCCTTGCCTGGGAATTGAACCTGAGACTCTTTGATGCACAGGCCAATGCACTGAGCCACACTGGCCAGGGCCAGCCATTTTTTGAAGAAGCCCTTAGCTTTTGTTTGTGTGTGTGTTTTCAGTTCAAATTGGTATTTTAGAATCACAGTCAGGGTGCTGGCTATGCTCATAGCTATTGGATTGATCCTTCCAGAATTCTTGTTATCAAAGACATAGGTGATGATGGAATTATAATATCCCCAGTTAATCATTTACTTATTCTTGTCTTATATATAAAACAGTCTAAGAATGACAATTATTCAATTTTGAAAACAGTTAAAACATTTTATTTTATTTTTTGCATTCATTCTCTCTATTCTCCCCAATTTTTAAAATAATCATACTGGCCCTGGCCGGGTTGGCTCAGTGCTTAGAGTATTGGCCCTTCGACGGAAGGTTCATGGTCACGGGTTTGATTCCCTGTGAATGAAATCTGAAAATCTGGAAGAGATTCCTCAGGTGAGGATTAAAATCATAAATAAATAAATTAATCATAATCATACTGTAAATGATCTGGTCATGTAGCTATTATATACTAGAGCAGTGATGGCGAACCTTTTGAGCTCGGCATGTCAGCATTTTGAAAAACCCTAACTTAACTCTGGTGCCGTGTCACATATAGAAATTTTTTGATATTTGCAACCATAGTAAAACGAAGATTTATATTTTTTATATTTATTTTATATATTTAAATGCCATTTAACAAAGAAAAATCAACCAAAAAAATGAGTTCGCGTGTCACCTCTGACACACGTGTCATAGGTTCGCCATCACTGTACTAGAGTCTATCCCTTTTGACCTAATTTATTTGGGGATTATAAGGGTACATATATATTGTAAAATACACGTAACACAAAATTTATCATTTAAATCATTATAACATGTACAATTCAGTGGCATTTAGTATATTCACAGTGTTCTGTCTAGTTCTGAAACATTTTCATCGTCCCAAAAGGAAACTGTCTGTAATTATTAAACAATCACTGCCTATTACCCCAATAACAACTAATCTGCTTTCTGTCAATATGGATTTGCCTTTTCTGAATATTTCATATAAATGGAATCATAGAATATGTGGACTTTGTGCCTGATTTCTTTCATCTAAGCATAATGTTTCCTTTTTTTGAAAAAAACTTATTGTTGAAAGTATTACATATGTTCCCTCCGCCCTTTAACTTCTTATAGCCTACTCCCACCCCCTGTCCCAGGCCTACACCTCCCTATTGTCAGTGTCCATGGGTTATGCATATACACATACAAGTTCTTTGGTTGATTTCTTCCCTCCCACCCCTCACCTCCTGCCTTCCATCTGAGAGTCAATAGTTTGTTCTATGTCTGTGGATCTATTTTGTTCAACAGTTTATTTTGTTCATTAGATTCCACATATGAGTGGGATTATGTGATACTTTTCTTTCTCTGACTGGCTTATTTC